TTGGAAGTCTTTTACAGAATTTATAATAACTGTGGACAGAATTTGTATCTTACATGCACATTTCCCTCCCACTCACAAACACTTTCAAGTCCATCAAATGCTTTTTCCTGCTTCTCTTTATCATTTCTCTTTACCTACTGCTGTTTATTTCTGGGTCTTTATGTCCCTTATTTCTATTTACACTGCATTCTCCTCAGTACGAACCACCCTGTGCTTTTCAATATTATATTAAAAATAAAGAACAAAAACAAACAAAATGACATATCACTACTATTTTTTAAAGTAATAACAATTATAGATTTTAAAAAGAACACAAGTTCTATATCTATTGGAATTATTGTACTTGGGTCAGAAAGAGCAAAGCTAGACTAAATAGGATTATGCTTTTTTTAATAAAGTTATAACCTATGTAAAAAATTCACCTACAGTATAGGAAATAGCCCCAAGAATTTGGAGCGGCTTAGCTCTAGACTCCTTGAGATTTTTATTAACAGCTCATATGATGTTCAGAAAAATTGTTTTTGTGACAGATATTTATTCGTGGGTTTAATTTTTTTAAGAAGTTAACTAATTATCTCAAGATTAAAACTAAAGTGCAAATTGCCCTAGCTCAGTGAAAAGAGCCAATCATACAAAATAAGGTCGTATAAAGTCAAAAGCATAATTGCATTTAAGTGCAAGTATGGAATGAAGACAAACTAATAAATATATTTTTAAAAATGTAGGAATCATGTGTCCAAATATCAATGTGGTTAAAAGTTTAGCAAAATATTAGGACATATGAAGAGGATGAAGAGTTTATTGGCTTATCAGACAATAATTTTGTTTTATATTGCACCTTTACTTGAGCACATTTATATGAGAAAACCAGATAGCACCCAATTTTGAGTATTCATATAGATTAAGAATTTAAAAAATGAGTACAGAAATAATGCATGTGATACACTAGAAGATGACTGTATACCACTGCTTTTCAATAAGTCAAAGTTAGGGGTTGCACAGCTATTCTCCTAGGAATGAAAGACAAAGACTATCTGCACTAAATAAAAAATATAAAGAAATAAAATTACACTGTCATGAGACAAAATTTATCTTTATCTCTTTGTTTCAAAATAAAGATCCAACAATAGTTGATTTTATGTTTATGTAAAGAAGTATTAACTGAGTGCCTATATGTCATATATATGATGGCTACTGAATGATGTTTGTAAACTCTTGAATACTATATCCAAGAATATTATTTAAATTTTCCCTTAACAAGATGTAAACCTAGGGCAATCAACCTTTAGCATTAGATTTGTAAAAAGTAGTAAGTGAAATTTCCAAATCCTTTATACCCAACAGTAAATTATAAAGTCCAATGTTTCAGCCATTAACTTCAACTTCCTGATCCATGCATTTTTATTAAAACTTTTGACTAGATGATATATTAACTTAACATGACTACCTTGTTAATTAGTCCCTATATTTTAGGTTAAAAAGAAAAAGAAGACAAATAAAGTGAATTTAAAATTCTAGTAAAAAATCAATACGGAGATAAAAGAGGAAAAGTAGACTATTCATCTCAAAAGAGCTGATAAACTTATACATCTTAACGTAAAAAATATCTTCATATTATATTAATTTTTCCTTTTTTTATTTTCTGAAGAGAAATAAGACCAACTACTCCAAACATAATATTGGAAAATCTATATTTGAATATAGAAATAAATTTCAGTATTTGCAAGCTTAGAAGACAGGAGTAGAGTTGAAGTAAAATTTGCTTTCATATGAATGAATAACAATTAAAAACTGTGCAGAAAAGTTATTTTAAAAAACTTCCACCAAAACTTCAAGAATTCAAAAGAAATATGCATGGAAAATTTTATAGTAGCAAGGATTAGAACGTCACATCCATGATCTTAAATCTTCCAAAGAATAGAAAGTGCCTTATACTCATTAAAAAGATATTTTATATTAATATTGAAAAATAAAATTTTATTCAAATGAGGAAACAGCAACATAAAAATGCAGAGTAGGCCAAAAGTAGGTTTACAGTTGTTTGTATTGAAAATGATACAATAATTAATTAATAATACAAGAATAAATTCTGTTTCACATACTGACAGCAGTAAACCTACTTTTGCCCAACCCTGTATAAATTAAATTAAATTAACAGAAATAACATACATAAACTACAATTAGTCCTATTAAATATAATGGCTTTAGGCTCCTTAAAATTCTGAATATTTCTCTGTATTAAGGATACCTGAATCTTATATTTAAAATGTCAAAGAGGGATTTTAGAAGGAAGCCGAATATGTGTAGTGATATTTAATAAGACTGTATAAGACTGATATCAATATAGTATTACTATATGATTTTGGTATAGCTTCTCTTAAAAAATAAAGTTGGCTGTTTTAGGTCACTTCATGTCATTTCCTAACAAAAATAAATGAGAGAAATTTATTAAAAGGAAATCTCCCGCCTAATTTTGCTGAATGTTATCAGTTCCCTAATAAAACATGACTCCTTTCTAATGAAGTCTAAGGAAATGACGTAGGAACTATGAGAATTCATTTTAATTACCAAGGGTACAAGAAAAATGAACTTCAAACAAACTATACTAACCAGCTGGATGCAGAGCTGCAACTAATCAACTCCTTGCTTCACAAAATGTAACATAAGAGAGAATTTCACCATAATTTTATTTAAGCATAAATTAATGCAACATGTCCATCATTTTAACTTCTAGCAATGATAGTTTCCTAAAAATCAAAAGCAAAGTATTTAATAGGAATATTTTACATATTATTTTAATTAGATGTTGTTTTTATCACCTTGTGTTGATATAGCACCTTGATCAAAATTTGCCAACACTATAAATCTTCTATTTTTATTTTTTAATCAGCATATTCCCTCAGGTGTATGTGGTACATGGTCTTATGCATAGAAATCATTATCAATGTTCTAAACCACTGTAGAGACTAAATAATTCAGATTCATTGTACCTGAGGTGGGGACACAGAACAAAAAACAAACAAAAAAACCTGATGCGTAGATTAATTCTGATTATTTCTGGCTTTGTTAAAATAAAACTTAATAAATTCTAAAAACATCTAAACCTATGTTGGCTCAAAAGAATATCTGCTTTCACAAATGAGTTATGTTTGAAAAACCTGAGAATAGTATGTAAAATGATCTTTAAGGTCTAATTTTAAATTTCTAATAGACCAATCAATACGGTAATCTACTCCTTCAATAAGAATCTAAAAGTGACACAGAAACAAGGATTCCTTGACAGAGACTTTTCACTGTATTAATAAAGTGCTTCTATCTTCACAGTAGGCCTAATATAAAGAGAGAGATTACACATCTTGTTCTATTCATAGAAACAAGCACATAAAACAAATACCACTGCAATGAGCATGTCTACAATACAACTGCTTAGCCTGATCCAAACAACTCCTTTAGTTCAAACACTGGGCAAGGACACAATATATGCTAAGTTAAATTCAAAAACTGTATGCAGCTCATTGAAGTTAATTATACAAAATATGATCTATTCAAATTACTTATTTATAGCTACCTTAATGAACATATTCATCAGAATCAGATTGAAAATTTTTCCACTCTGCCATACAAACTTTAGTTTATACAGTGTCTACAGCATAATAAATATGCATATGATGTGGAATGGTAGGACAGCTGAACTGCTTTAATTCTAACAATTTACTAAGCAACATGGTCAAGGGTAATTAGAGTAAGAGCTTATATGTGAATAATGAAAATGACACAAGGGCCAAACTTTTTAAAAGCACATTGGATCACTTTTAACTACAACATAAGTTGAGGCTGTGTAAAACAATATATACTTACAGAGTGGAAACTGACATTTCAAAGGCAAAAACCTCAGCTTATATATTTATCACATTTTCATTTTATTAATGCTCAATTCTGAAACTGGTTCTTTATGAAACATGAGATAAATTTTCAATATTTTCTTTGAAGTTACCTTTTTAAAAATGTATGAACACTTGAAAAATACCTAAGGTAAATCCCTCAAAATCATGAATTGTAAACAACACATAGACAACTGGTCTTATATCTTGTTTCCAGACTCTAGTGGAATGAGGAATTAGGGCGGGCTTCTCTTCTTGTTTGTAGTAGTGCCCTCTAACGACTAGATGAACCTTGCTTTAATAACCACTCTATGTGCAATTTGTTTTAGCATGCACACTGCTGATGGTAGGGAAGCAATCTTCTTTAATGGATGCTGAAAAGCTTCAAGTGAAATCTGTAATTGACAAAGGCTTCATAGAAATAGGCAATTGAGAATAAAATTAAAGAGAGGCTCTACAGGAAAAGCACTCATGCTTTCACAAAATACTTCTCTAGGAAAATATTTAGTAAAAATAAAAAATTTAAAGAACCAGGTGTTGTTTCTCCACTTTATTAACTGTTTCTCAGGTCTGTGTGCTAATTAAAAATATGACAATAGACAGACTTAATGTTATTGGGTGTAAAGGAATAATCCATCTGCTGATATTATTTGGGGGAGAGGGCAATAAACAAAGAAAGAAAAGCCTTACATAAAAGTTGGGGTAGGTTCAGCACCTATTTCTTCAAAATCAAAGGTGCTCAGTTTTAGTATCCCAAATTTATTGAAGTAAAGTACTGACAACAAATCAAAAGAGTTCTAAAGAGCAAAGCAGCAAGGGTAGGGCAGAAAACAGGGCGGACTCATACCCCTCTGGCCTCCAGGAAACACCACCACGCCTTAAGTGTCACTAGTCCAGAAAGTGATACAAGCACAACGGAATGATGCATATAAATCAGAGCTCCAGAGAGAGTGGGAAAATAACAGTACAGTCCACTGTACTTTCTTTGCCCAAGCGCCCAGCTTCGCCCTCCCCAAAGGAAGTTTACCTGTGGCGAAAGGTAAGACTAGGGGGCTGGGGTGGTTCTCAGGCTGGGGGTTTGGCGGTTGCCAGGTGGGGAAGGGGGCGGGTCGCACTTACTTTGAGCAGCTTGCAGCGGATCTGCGCGGAGACCATGTGGCTGTTGCGCAGGTTGCCCACCCGGAACATAAGCGTGAGTTTTCCGTCCCTCATGGAAATCACCGCGTGCTCACTAAACATAAGGGTCTCCGCGCGCTTCTTGGGCTGGGACATCTTGATGAACATGCAGCCAATGAGGAAGGCGTCCACGATGGAGCCGAGGATGGACTGGAAGAGGAAGAGGATAATGCCCTCGGGGCACTTGTCGGTGATGTAGCGGTAGCCATAGCCGATGGTGGCCTCGGTCTCGATGAAGAAGAGGAAGGCAGAGGGGAAGTTATAGACATTGGCCACGCAGGGTGTGTAGTTGCCGACATGGGCTTTGTTTAGGTCGCCCCGAGTGTAGGCGATCACCCACCACATTGACGCCATGAAGAGCCAGGCCACGGTGTAGGTGAGGATGAAGATGAAGAGGTTCCAGCGCCACTTGAGGTCCACCAGGGTGGTGAAGAGGTCCGAGAGGTAGCGACTCGTCTCGCTGCCCAGGTTGCCGTGCTGTACATTGCACCGACCGTTCTTGTCCACGAACCGCTGCCGCTTCTTCTTGGGCACAAGCTGCTGCGGGCCCTGGCCCGGCCCCTGGGGCTGTAAGCCCGAGCCGCTGGACGAGGTGGTTACTACCTGGTAATCGTCCCCAAATTTCCTTCGGAGTGCAGACATAATACGGAGGGGCGAGCCAGATTCAAACGCGAAGTGAAGGCGCAGGAGCCGAGCGCTGCAAACCAGCACCAATAAGAAGGTGGGGGCGGGGGAGAAAGGGGGGACAAAAGCGAGCGCGCCTGGGTTGGGGGGCGCACCCGGCAGGTAGCGGCGGTCTCTGCAGACGCCTCTCCTCCCCTGGGACGGAGGCTTTCCTCCAAGCTGAGTCTTAAAAAGTGTTCTCCCGCGCTCAAGGCTGAAGGGATGCAAAGACCACAAGCGCAATTTTGCCTCCAAGCTTTTCGAGGCTTCTCTTTTCTCCCCCCACCACAGGCATCCCGGGCCACCTCTTGCCTTCCCCCAGACCTACTGACTATCCTGCAGCACTCCCAAACTGACTCTTTTAAAATTAATAGTTGACAAGCGAGTTCCACGCCACCTGCCAACTCGCCGGGCTGCCGAAGCTTCGCTACCTGCTCGGACCAGACCCTCCCCCCTCCCCGCTGCTCCCGGATCGCCCGCCCCCCTCCCCACCCCGGGACGGCTCCTGGCTGCCCCCGGCACTCCCGCCTCCTATCTTTTGGCCAAAATCCCGCCCAAAGGCATGTCTGCCGAGGATTAGTGCAACACCCCCTACCCACGCCCGCTTCAGACTCCAGAGACCTGTCCGCCTGGCGTCCGCCGGCCGCCGAATTTCCGTGGGCGCCACCAGGTCCCTCCAGCGGACCCTCAAGGGCCCCAGGCCGCCCCCGCGCTCAGCGGAGACGCGGCGGTGCAAGAAACCAGAGCACTCACCCCGCGGGAGACGGCGCAGAGGGCTGCAGCGGCAGCTTGGCCTCGCACCCAACGCTCAGGGCTGTTTTCCTCGCCCCCACTTTTCCTGCTGTACCACGATGGGGGCGCCAACGCAGGTCCCTCGAGGTCCGAAATTTCCAGGGGGCACGACGCTGCCCCCACCCGAAGGATCCTGGAGCCCCGGGCACAAATTGATTTGGGCGCGGGAGTTGGGGGGTTCCTTGGCGCCGTGCTTTCCTAGCAAGTGACAGTGGCACTACTGTAAGGGGTTCGAGCCTCTGCCCCTGGTCACTTTCAGGTTTAATAGTAGTGCCACTCCAGTTTTTCCTCTGCTTCACGGTGCTTTCCCTTGCCTCTTTCTTCCTCTGGTTTCTTACTCCCAGTCCGCGCCTCGGTGGCCCAGGTGGAAGACGCCAGGCGGCCGCGGGAGCAACAGAGAGCGGTGTTTGTGCTGGTGCGTGTGATCAGCTGCAGAGCCGCGCTAGCCCCGCCTGTCCCTGCCTTCGCCCGCTGTTCCACCAGCCTGAATTGCACCTCCGCGCCTCAGTTGAGCCTGCAGTGTCTGGCAGCTCAGGAAAAAGAGAGCCCCTCCAGTCACAAGCGACTTTCAGTGGTCTCCCAAAAGCCAACCAACACTTCTTCGCCCTTTTCTGCATTAGGTAGAAAACCCCCAGCAAACAGCAAATGCTGCTCTCTGAAAGCAAAGGAGTACAATGAGTCTCTTTAACTAGGGCTCTCATTTAAATGGATGCCTGGATTTGGGGTACGTCACAGAGACCCCAACTAGCTCCAAGATAAGCATGTTCAGAACTCAAAGCTGCAAGTAGCAAAGGGGGCCTTAGGATGGGAACAGAAAGGAGGGGAGCTTATAGGAAAGCTCATAATCTTTCCTGAAAATGGCTCTATTTAAAAAGGATCAGGATGTCCAGAGTTAACGTATGACTGTAATTGAGGGAAGAAGTCTGGATTTTAATGGCCCAGGCTTGGCGGTTAACTTAATGGAGGGGCAAAGTGCAGAAATAGCTAATATGGTGCCCATGTGTAAATACCAGCTTATTTACCACGCATCATGTTTGTTTTAAAAATGCCATGGTGTCTTGTGGCATATTCATTACATTCATTCCATTCAGTACACTTGTATAAAATTGATTTTGTTGGAAAAATCATCAGATTCTGAGATTATTAAACCAAAAGGCTGCTCTAAGACTCCTAAGCAAAGAAAAATAAGTACATAATCAGTCCACTAATTCTGTTTGCAGGCACTCCCCTCTGCCTCTCTACCCCTAAACTTAGTGCAGGCAAGCCTGTGTCACCTTCTCAGACATAAACCCCAGACTCTTCACTGTCGTTTTAGTTAAAGCAGCTACTCTGAGTTACAGACTCTCCTCCTGCAGGCTGCCTGATAAGAGGTCAGTAACTCTCTGTTATTCCTTAGGATTACATAACAAGGGAAAGTAACACTGGAAAGTGGAAACTGTTCTGGGCCTGGAGTCTAAGACCTGATTTGTGTTCTGGCCCTGCCACTTACAAACTGTGTCACCTTGGGCAAGTAGCTAAGAACTGTGGGCCCCAGTTCTCTTCTCTGAAAAATTGGGAGTTTCAACATATTCCCAAAGTTGGTATGGAAAAAGAGAATGAAGGTGGTTTTGTTAACTACTTTTGCTGCAAGGGATGTTAACTACTGGATTGTAAAAATGAAATAAAGCCAAGAAGGTATTCGAAATGAGTTTTTGGAGCTGGCCCCATCTGGTGAATGCATTGTACGGGTATTGTCCTCTCATCTCTGACTGCTCTCTCCCTAACTCACTATTTCTTTGCCAGGCTGACTTCTTTCAATTTCTGAAACACACGGAAGCATAACCCCCATCTTTTTACCTTTGTGTTATGTTTCCTCTTTCTGGAATGTGCTTTCCCTGCTAATCCATGTTGCTGGCTCCGTCTATCATTCAACCTAAATGCATCCTCTTAGGGAGAGCTTCACGAGCCCAGATACCTCCTATTACATCAGCTTGGTTCACATTCTTCACAGCACTTTTCCCTCCCTAGATAATATTGTATTCATTTTTTTTTTAAATATTCTTCTCTCCCTATATCACAATCCTGGAATTCAGTCTCTACAAGAGCAAGAACCTTGTCTCTCCTGTTCACTGCTCTGTCCCCAACATCTAGAACATTGTCATACACTAGGTCCACAATAAATATTTGATGGATCAATAACATGTACCAATCCACACCACTTGAAACTCTTTTGAAACTTTCTCTAAGTAATACAGAATTAAAAGTTGTCACTAAATCAGGTCACTTAAATGATTTAATATAAAAGAATACATAAATAAAAAGATAATACTTCTGTGCTTCTTAGGTGTAAAATTGATATTCAGTCAGGTGCCAAATTCTTTGATTTTACCATTGCAGTATCTTTCATATGACTTCTCTCCCTTAAAAAAAAATGCTACTAACTTTCTTCAAATCCCCACTTCATTTTAGGCCAAATATGAAATGATTTTCTTGCCTACAGTCTTTTACTCCTGCAAGCTGTCTTAGATGGTATTACTAGATCTATTTCCTTAGAATCCTAAAGGTTTAACAGAGATGGAAGCCTAGAAGTTCTCTGATTATTTCATTTGATTAATTCAGTTACAAGCTTTTAAACATTCCAACTTTAAAAAACACTTTTCTATGAAAAACCTTTGCCATTTTTCAACAACCAAGAGACACAGTCTAATGTAACCCTTTCATTTAACAAATAATCAAATTGAGGTTAGAGAACATTATTTGCTCAGTGTTAGAGTTGATAAGTGGAAACTTTGACGTTTGTACCCAGAGCAGTGTACCTCCAGAATCTGGATGCTCTGCCATCCCTTGCCAGGTGCCTGGAAAAGAATCTAGCATTTCTCATGCACAACCAGAGTTTTCCTCTGCTGCATGCTTCTCGTGTAGGTTGAGATCTCAGGTTGTCCAAAATATGCCTAACCTATATTTCCCAAATCATCTGCTACCCTCTCTTTAATGTGGGCAATACTACAGCCAACTTTGTTACCAATTTCCCAAACATGCCCTACATTAACTTCATTTGTTCAACTTCTTTCCTGTCACTTAAGTTCCGTTTTTCTATTCTATCTTTGCAAAATCCAAATCAGTATCACTAGTGAAGGAAATAATTTCTTCAGCTTCTTTTTAAGTGCCACCTCTCTCATGAAACTTTACCTTACTCTTTCACTAATAAAAATGTCATTTTCCTAGATTCGTAATGTGGCTTTTTTTTTTTTTAACTTTCTAGCCTCTAATTGAGCTCAGAATTCAACAAGATTCCCTCTAAAAACATCCTGAGCATCGCCATCATAATATTTTGATATCATTTAGTACTTCAGTTATCCAAGCTTGCTTCGCACATGGTAAATATTTAATATTTTTTTACAGATAACTAAAATTTATGGAACCTACTTTAAGGTACCAGGCAGAGTGCTTGGTGCTTGGAACTTTAGAATTAGTATTTCCAGTGCATAGTTGGAAAGACAATTGAACAGGCCTTCTAAAACATATCTCCCCATTTTCAAGGTCCTTATTCTTTTAAAGAAACAGCACTGTCTGATATGTTAAATATTTTTTCAAGATGCCATCATGTCACACTTTAAATGTGACTGAGCGTTGACCTATCTGTGACATTAAGTCTAACTCCTTGAAAATATTTAAAGATGAACCAAACTCATCTTCCCTTGTCAGGACAGCTGCTTTCATGATGAGGTCTGGAGGGCAGCCAGCCCCTCGGTGCCAAAGCCAGACGGGATGTGTGGGGAATGGATGACAGAAGGCCACCTAATCAGGTGCTGTCTGATAAACTGAAGTGAAATACTGTGAACAGCATGGGTCAAAGGAAGGAGAGGCACACAACTTCAGCCAAAAACACAAGGCCAGAAAAATCTGGGAAACATAACTACAGAATACGCAATCATTTGGAGTCTAACATATAAAGATAGGGTGGTAGGTTATAAACAAGCTACCGTACAGATCTTAGAGAGAAGAGGGGAGGAAATCACAGCTCTATTTAGCAACAAACTCCGTTAAGAACAAGCTGCATTTGTATTGTGTCATAAATTAATAATATGAAAAACTATGGCTTTGAAAATAAAGGATATAATCCTGTGTTTTAACAGTAAAAAGGCATGATTTTGCACATGCACTCATCCTCTTATATAACTGAACAGTGTGAAGAAGAGTACATTTAATGTAAAAGAAGAAAAACTTCTGCCCTTGAGAAGTCCAAATTTTAAAAATCACTTAATCGGCCAACTGTGAAAAAAGCAAGGCTTTGAACGTCTCAGTATACCTGGAGTCCATCTTCTCATCATTCGCTATTGTCACTGAGATTCCTGTCATGTGACAGTCTACATGACCAGAAATATTAATTACTTTCAGGGGAAAACTGTATTATATTTAATACTCCTTTACTCCTAATCCTCCCATTCTCCAAAGTACAATAAAGAGATGGGAAGGCCTGGGGATCTGAAGCTCTTTGCTTCAAAAGCTAATACATTCCCATTTTCACCATAAGTTCTGCTAAAACCCGGAAGAGGTCACTCTTT